TCTTCCGATCTCCCCAAAACCCCAAAACCCCATCGCATAACATTCGAATTAAATGTTGTTGAAACTAATTGATTAATAAGTGTGATAATGAATATAATAAATCTCAAGCCTCTTCTCTTCCCTGCTTGATAGATCTAACTGAACCTATAAATCTGCCTAATTTGTTCCAAAGCTTGTAGAGAAGAAAATGAAGCACATTAATACATAAGTCATAAACAAAGAAATGCAGGAACGCAGCTGAGCAGCCACTGTACCACCAAGCCCAACTGACTTTCCAACTAATTAGAATTAAAACAAATGATTGAAGTTTTACCCGAACGTAGCAGTGAAGTTGATGACATACCATGAAACTGCGGCAAATACAGCCAAGACAATAAAGTAGGCCATAATGAACCTTAGAGCCATTTCTTTCTTTAACTCAATCCTAGAAATTCATTAAGATATTGTATCATTACATCATTTCCTTTAGAGTTTATAAATCTGCTGAGTACTTTATCCTCTGATCTGTTATTCTAAACAATGAAGCGAAGAGATACATCAAAACGATATTTCCTAATGGTGCTGATAATGCAATCCAGGCATCCTAGAAAGCCAAACTACTAGCTTTTTTACTAAAGTCAGGGATCTAGAGAGGAGACTTTGTATTGTTGTAAATGACAGCGCAGAAGAACCAAATCAGAATGATGTTGAGCATGAGCAATGACCATCTCGCATGTCTTGGGAAAAGTAGGGAGTCAACAGTAAATAAGTTGGCTATTGGATTTCCGTACTAAGTATTTGATTAGATATAAAAGAAAATCTTACCTTAATAATGTTCTTAAGCGTATACATTTATTCCTCCTTGGAAAGTACCAAATCCTGTATTTCATCCTCAACAGTCTTATAATCTGTAGGTCTAAGTATTCTTTTCTAAGGATCATCTGCATATGTGAGTTCAGAGAATTTAGTATACTCAGATGATTGCTCTTTTTACAAGTCACTACTTTTCTTTGACAGTTGTTTCGAGTTAGGCCTTGTTTGCTAGCTACTATTGCCCACATCTGTCTCATTCATAGTAGTTTTATAACCCTTCTTGTCGTCGAAAACTGACTCCGATGTCTTTCCTTTAGTTGATTTTTACTTTGAGCCTTTCTTGGGAATGACAGTTGCTTCGTAATCTGGAGTTTACTTGAGTTCTTCTTCTTCACCCACTACATCATCAAAGTCTTTGTAATTAGTCTTTTTTGTCGTTGTGGTTTTAGGCGATCTTTGCGATACTGGTGATAGTGTCTTGCTGTGAGGCAGCGTACCACCCTTACTGCTCTTTGATCGCTAGGTTAGGATTTCAGGGGGCTTTTTTGTTTCCAAAGTTTGTAAGTTTTCATTTAGTCTTCTCTCAGATGCCAGTTCTTTACTTGGAGTGACATCATCCTAGGCAGCTGGTGTGATATCATTCTCCTGAATATTCATTGCAACAGCATTCACTTTCTTCTTTAGTTTCTTCTTTTTAGCTGTCTGTCTCATTCCAGTTGCAGAAGTTCCTCTCAACATGTTTTCTACATCTTGCATGTCCTGGTTCATCTCTGCTTCGTCTTCCACGATATTTGCAAGCCCTCTTCTTTGCTTTTTCTCAGTTTTCTTGCCTTCAAATAGATTTACAGGATTGATTGCATTCTCTCGAGTAGTTACTCTTGCTTTCTTAACTGAACTATCAGCTTTGACTCCAAATAATTCCAAACTCTTGGGATCAGGCTTGTCCTAGTCTTCTTCATTTTTTTTGTATACTCTCTCTTCAATAATTCTATCTAAGTCATCCAGTTTCTACTTTGCGAAGTCTTTCTATGTTCCACCTTTGGTCCTCTTTTACTTAGCAGCTGGAACTTTTCTGAAGAGCTATTGATTGTTATCAGTTGATTGATAATTATTCTGATTGGACTGAGAAGCTTGATCTTCCTATCTATAATCCTTTTCCTCTTCATCTGAGCCACCCTCATAATTTCGAGAATGAGGAGTCTCTACCTCCATTTCTGCATCTCTGAGTCCCACGGCTAAATGCCTTCTATGATGATTTAAACCAATCTAGGAGTTATCATGAATATTAGACACATCATTATCTAGCTCAATTACTGAATCATCATCATTTTTCTCAGCAGCAGTACCTTTCTTAGACTTTTTAGTCAGAACCTTCTTCTTAGAACTTCCATCCCCATAGTACTAATTAACATCAAACACAGCTATGCTATCATCGATTGCTCCCTTTTTCTTTGTGCCAGCTTAAGCAACACTCTTTTTGATTTTCTTTTTAAAGATTTTGCCATTTTTGCCTCCTCATTGCTTCTTGAACAAGTCGTCATCATCCATTCCCTCAAACATGCGATTATCCTTCATTTCCTCATTCGGAAATATCGAGGTTTTTCCCTTCATGCTGGCACCACTTTGATCTTTATTTAAGTTTGCTTCATCGTTTTACTCATCATTATCATTCTTGAGGCCATATCTGTCAATGTTTCTGAAATCTCTCATGAGTCTATATTTAACCTGCTTCTATGGCTTAATGTCGAAGATTATTGATATAACAAGGCCGAGGAAAAATGTAACAGATGCACCTATGACAGCTATGAATCCTAAAGATTCCTGCCAGAAGTCCATTCCGTAGAAATCTGTGTATATGCCTAATTTAGGGTGATTACCAAGGGAATCTAGAGTTTCATCAAACATCAACGCAAATGTAGATAGATGAGAACAGAAACATACTGCTGTAGTGATTGAGTTAGCACAGTTTTTGCAGGTAGAAGGATCATAAATTTGTATACCACATCCATCTGATTGGAATTTGCCGGATGTCTCATTCAAATATTTGCATTTGAGGTACTAAGGGTCAAAGTTCTTCATCTTCGTATAAGGTATCTATATCTGAATGAAGCCTAATTTCTAAACTTTGTGGGTTATATTCACATGAATCTTTTTAGTATTGGCATCCATAATTTCAAATACTACCACAGGTGAGTCTATGAATTTATTGATTTGTGGTTTATGAATGTAGGGACTAGCTATGTATTTAATCATTTTGATTCTCAAGTCACTGACATCGTTGACATCGGGTATTCCATCTAAAAATCCAGCAGGTCCTCTTATTTCAACATTATTTGTGTTAGTTTCATCCATTTTGAAGTATGTTGGTTCACCTTTCCTTGAACTGTTAAGTATTTCTTGAGAGAGCGTTCTGTTAAGTAAAACTTCAAGATAAGAACTTTGCCCTATAAAACTATAAGTCTGATACTTAGATGCAATGATTTTGTCCATCCTCAGAAGTGCCACTCTTGAAAATTCATTTATACAGTCCTAGGTAATTCTAACAATCTCAGATATTGTCTCTAAAAATTTATTTTCCCTCTCTTCGTTAAACTCACAACTAAGTTTATTTGCCGCATAGTATAAATGGATTTTACCAAAAATTCGTCCCATTGTCAAATAAAAGGAATCATAGTATTCTATTTAAAAGCTGAAAACTATTTCAGAGTGAGCATAAATACAATTTCTCATATGCTACAACATTCTTAAAACATCATCTAAATCTGCAGTTTCATAGTTTTTTAGAAGTCCTTTTAGCAACATGACCACATATTCAAGGTCTCCAGCTCTATACATATCTTAGTATGTATGATTTTAGAAATAAATATCAGTTGAATTTACGATTCCTTAGGTTAGTTGCTTAGCCATATGATTATCTTCAAGAGTAAGCTGGCACATTATTCCATAATATCCTGGATCACAATCACATATTCCTTGACCTGAGTTTGTATCACATTGACCGTTAAAACAGTTAATATCGATCAAACAAACAATACTGTTGTATGTTGGGATCTGAGGCTCAGAAAACGCTATTTCAAAAAAATTTGCTACCATCAATTAATAGTACGTATCAATATGCAGTGTTTTGTTGAGAACAAAGTTATATAATTCTCTTAAATAGATATGCTAGTTCTGACTGATGTAGTTACTTGAAATGTTGAGAGTATCAGTCTTAAATGATATGCCACTATCTTTATCCATAGCATAGACTGATATAAATGCTTCTGCATAAGTAGGTTCATCTGAAACGAATGGTAGCATGACTTAAAATGATTACTACTAAAATGTATAAGGTTTAATTAAGAAATAGGTCTCCAAGGCATAAATCTGTATCTTATAAGAAAGTTGATTTGAATCATCATCAATACTATCATACCAGGTTTAGCTTGAAGTTTCTGCCGATTTGTTGACAGTTGTTACATTGAATATAGTTTTCATAGTATAATTATGATACTTTTCTGATGATGTAATAATCATATTATTAGCTTAAGGAGGTTTATTCGCATAGAATTCTATCACATCATAGCCAAATTCAAGTCTGTGATTTGAAACTCGAACTAGTATTCTGAATGTCTAGCTATCACTTTGATACTTAAAAGAACTGGTTCTCAATTATTGATATGCATATTTCGATTATAAGTAACCAGTTTGATTATCCATAGTTAGAATTCCATCAAAGATAAATTTATTTTTAGTTGTTGATTTGTTGAATCCCTATATATTATAATTGTAACTTGTGAATGGATCTATCTATTTCCACATAACAGAAGTTATATTTCCATCAAACAGCTGCACTGTAATTTTCAAACTTGTTGCTTTGTCTTTGGGTATAGATTTTCTGTATCCAATATCTACCACTTTAACAACAACATTTTTAGTAAGATTTGAAGTGATTGAATCCTCTGTCTCATAGCATTTATAATCAGTATAATTAGGTCCGTATTAATATACTACAGGTTCCCATAAGCCAAGATAAAGATCCCTATCTGGGCAAGAAAGTAAGCATTTATTATTGAAAAGGTATCTTATTGGGGAGCAGACCAAACATTAAGATGGTCTATTATTAATGCATTTCTGGCATCCATCAAAGCAAGTTAAACAAGGGATGCTAGTATTAGGAGATGTTTAATTTGTAGCTGGATAATATTGGGTAGGACACTACTCCTGACACTATCTACCTGTATATTTAGTTGCACTAAAATAACTTGTGAATGTAGTATAGTAAGGCGAAGTTAATGGGCATTAATCAACACATGAACCATTGTTAAGATACTTTTAGGTTGGGTTTTTACATAAGATACAAGATGAGTTTGTAGTTCCATTACATCTAAGGCAGCTATCATCACAACCTAAAGATCCTAGAGTCATGTCCAATTTATTTGTGACATGAAGATTAGTAAATAAGCCCGTTTTGTTGTTTTTAATTCCTCTCCAAAGGTAAAATGAGGCTATTAAAGTACCTGATCCACAGCCATTTAGATTAAAGTCTCGAATAATAATATGATCATTTGAGATATCTTTATTAACTACAGTTGCTGAAGGTGGTTTTAACACTGAGCAGGCTATATTGTCCAATATTGCAAAGGTAACATTTATTCCAAATGTAGTGTAATTTCCAGTGGTCAAAGTGTCTTAATTTATTATTCTAGACCTTACATTATTGGAAAATAATAAATTTCTTCCTTTAAGAATCATTTTACTAGTATCTTAAGCAATTTTTCCTGTTTCAGGCTAAAATATGTCCCAATCTCTCACAAAAAATAAGTGTTTATAGACTAATTAGATAGTCTATATTGTACTACCAAAGAGGTAATAATTTACACTCTTGTACCTTTTCATAAATGAATATGAATAAAGTAGTATTTAATAAACTTCACCCTATTGTAAGAAGATTTAGCCTTCCATTAAAGTACAAGTTCCATCAGGATAGCACTTTACATCGCCTTTAGTCTAATTGAGAGGACTTTTTGTAAGATTATAGTTTCCCCAAATAATCTCGCTAGTTTCAATCAAATCACCGTCAGAGTCAATACCTAATCTTTATATTTCTATCTTTCCTCTATAATTTTATGAAGGATGAGAAGTAGGGTATATAATGGCACCATCTTCAAGGTAGACTTAAAAATATAGGGTTTCATTATAATCAATAGAAGCTCCATATTCAGCAAACCACTCGATAATTTCAGGATTGTATTTGTTGTCACTCACCTTACTTACTGTGATATTATATCCATACGAATAAGTCTCATAATTCTGCACTAAAAATGTAAATTAATTCTGTGTTTACCTCTTGCTAAAGTACCATCATTTGATTCACATAGGGATTTATAGCAAATATGAAGTTTGTTATCAGAGTTTATCTCAGTTATCTTGTTCACTCCATAATTAGTCCCAAGCCATATTTCATTGATAAATGGCATTCCTTTCCAATTTATATTGAAGAATCTATAATCATATCCTTTCACATTTGAAATAAAGCAATCCTCAGAATCACCTTTAGAAGAGTAAAACCTAAATATATCGCCTGGTAGGACACTTAAATCTTCAAAATTAAAGCCCAAATACTACTCTTATAGATTTAAGCTAGTTGGAGATTTATTGTCCGAAAGGGAAAGTGTGCTAATGATGTAAAAATAATCAAACTCATTCACTTAGACAAAGCTATTTATATAAGGGGAAGTGATATCCTTAAAATTCAAATCTCTAGCAGCAGCTGATTGCCAGCAAATCAAATTTCTTCCTATTGAAGCGCTGATATAAAAATGAGAGGTATAAAAGTTTACAAATAATTATAAGTATGAGTGGTATTGATATTCCTGCTAAAAGTAACTAAAATATTATATGCAATAATAAATACCTGCATTATTAAAATCTAGATAGCTGCAATTAGGAGAAGTTGTAAAAGCTATTAAATCATTATAAGCAACATCATCCCCATTTGAAGTAAATGTCACATACTTACTGATAGGTACTCCCCTGTTAAATGGATACACATATACTGCTGGTTATTCTATGAATTGGCATTAATCTAAATTCAAAAGCCTTACAAACATAAATTTATCCCATACTAAAAGCATATAAATCAGTGATAGAATTCCTTTTATAACAAAGTTCATAATGCTTTCCTTATTTAACAAATTAAGGAGGCAATGAAGTTCTTAAATTTAGAGTAAATGAAGAAACTGAAAGAGCAGATAATTAAAATATCCCCTGTTCCCCTCCTGGACAAGAGCAATTTTTTAAACATAGCAGAAACTAATCAGTGCTTTAAAATGAAATTCCAGTTGGATAGATAGTATCCATACTTGGCATATACTTAGCTAAGAAATCACCTCTCATTACAATAGGCATAATAATTTTCTAGGTAATAGGGATAAAATGACAATATGCGATATCATTCCAGACATAAAGAGTTAATGTATCAGATATAGTTCTGAATTTGGGATCAACAGCATTTTATGTTGCTGGATTATAAAAGTAACTAGTACTTTGAAAACCAGAGTAATCATTAATCGAAACTATTGTTTGTTGTACTCCATTAATAACTTAAAAAGTTTCCTCATTCATTGGATAATAGAGTAAAATATCAAAAAATCTATCATTTCCATAACCTTTATATGATCTATAAAAGTCTTGGTACATTTAAGGCAATCCATTAAACTAATTGATTAGCGTAATCTCCCTAAACGATCCTGGAAATCTATAATTATAGCATGGATTGGATATGCATCCCAATAAGACTTTCGGACTGAATGGTTATTGTAGGAATCCAAAGGATCCTAATATTTAAAAATGACTATAAGATGCCTATCCATTTTATTATAGTGCCATATAGTAATTAAACGCACCCACATAAGTTTACTCCAGACAAATTGACACCTTAACCCAAACATTTAGAGGCATTTCAAATATATCTGCCCCATTTGGTAATGTTACCTAGTTGTTCTTATTATCAGTTATTAGCTTGCATTTTATAGCATGATTGCTTCCTGAAGTATAATTAGCAATGCAATTTATTCTCCCAAAAGCATTTATAATATCAAAATTTTATTAAATATTCTTTCCATCATCAATCTTAATGAACCAAAAGCTAAATGTAAATTCCCTTGGAAGTTCTTTTAGAGAACTAGAGTTAGTATCAATTTAAAATAATCTTTGTGACTTATCAGTTGAGAACACTAGACCTGATGTATAGCTGACTGTATATTAATTATTTGATCTGAGTGTAGGGTTACTTGAATCTCTAAAGTTAATTAATGGATATGAATTCTATGGACATTCATGGTAGCAAATTTAATTCAGTATGGCATCTAAAGAATGATAATTATAAAGGCATAGTTTACTTACATTCTTCAGCATTACATCTAGCTTGACATTATGACTTAGCTCTTACTTAATTTGATGAAGCATAGCAGTTGCAAATATAAGTAGGTGATACAGCTGGAAATCCATATCCAACTACATCTGAACCACCAGTACAATAATCACAACCTTTGTATCTATTTAAGGCACTTGCACAGGAGGAACAACTTTAATGGCATTTTTAATTATACCAATTCTTGTTATTTAAGTCTTTAAAGGTAAAAGTACCTGAAGTAGATGCAAATTGGCATGTGCCATAATCTGTTATATTATTAAGTACTTCTAATTTGCATTAGATGCAGTAGCTTGGATCTTATATGCTACAAACTCTACAGTTGCTATCTGTGCATGTATTTGTCGAGAATGCAGAATCAGAGTCATAGAGACCAAAATGCAAACCAGAGTTATCTTCCCTCTAAGCTGCAAAAATAAATTTATAAGGATTCTGTGTTGATTTGTCTAAAGTTATAGGCATTATTAGCCTTTAAGGAGTGTAAGCCATTCTGGATTTTAGATTATTAGTAGGTCTAGCCTCAATATCAATAATTTAGAAAGGATTAGAATACTTGATAAATATTACAGCAATATTCAAGCTATGAGAATTATAAACCTCCCATTGATTATTTGTTCCACAGTTAGTTGAAATGCAAAAATAGTTCCCTATCTTTGCAAGTATAAATAATCCTATTCTCGTAACTTAAATGTCTAGAGGTTCATCTTGTAAACCTTAACTTCCCATAAGAACCTCTTAGTTTAAGATACCAGTATCTTGAAAGATCTCTGCTAGGTAAATATTATATTTTCTTTCCCATGCATAATCGGGGGGATCATCTCTTTTCAAAAGCACGTATAAAAAATTAGCTTAAGTACCCATCCCTCTAAAACTATCATTTAAGACTGGATCACCCAACAAATTCACATATCTTTTGTTACCATCTATAAGTAATGATTCAACAAAAAAGCTTATTTTAATTACAATATCTATCATAAGCAACAACAGCAATATTTGTTTAGTTTGTATATTAGTTGTTTGCTCTCAAAGCACTTAGACTATTTCCCATATATTTATTTGTATTGACTTCTACAGCCATGAATAGATATTCTGTTTGATTATCATACAAGAGTCCTCTCACAGTCTCATTAACTCCTGCAACATCAGACTGTCTATACCACTCAGTCAAATTGTACTTTGTATTAAACTTCCCAACATAATAATCTCGGTCAAAAGCATCTATCAAAATCAGTCAATTAATTTCCAAAAGCAGTATAATTACTTAGGGGATTTTCAACAGTTGCTGCAACAAATATCTCGTAAAAGCTAAAACCTGATATTGAGATATTAGATTGCTAGATATAACCTCCAACTCCATTTTTTAGATCCAATATAAGATTTGTATCTTTTTTCATGATCTTGTAATAAGGAATTGTGAGACTTTCTGATTCTTTTTCTGTTGCAGCTGTGTAAAACACCTTCATTATCTGAATGCAATTACTAATTTCATCGAATCCCACTAAGTCTACTAAGTGCTTATTAGTATCTGCCTCTTCATTGTAAGTGAAGCCGAACACAACAAAGTCCGGCAATTCAAAATTAGCAGTACCAAGGCCCTAATAAATTGATTATATTGAAAACTTAAGAATGTGTATAATAACTTTTTCTTACATTAGTTTTCTTAAATGTTACTTCAGGGTTAGAAATATTTATTCTATAAAATGTGAACTCCTGCTTTTCTAAACTGCCTAGAAATTGTTAAAAGTTTAAACATACTCTTCCTTGCAAGTATTGCTATTTTTTTATTTCTAGAATCGACATAAAAATTGTTTCCGTAATATTTTAATGGCACATCAATGTGTGTAAAATTGTCTACGCGCTCACAACCTTGTTGTCAACACTAAAATTCATCCTAGAAATTAACTAGGTTCTTGATTTTCTTTTGAGATTTAGTCACATCAATAAAGATGAGCGAAAACAAAATTATTAGGTATCGGCTCTTCATTTTTAATTAGCAACCATTGAGAAAATTAGAGCTCATTTCTATTTTTAAATATATTAATTTAATTTGAGAGTTGCTTTGATATTTTATAGACTATTTTATTGATTTCTCAAGCAACTAAATAACCTATGCCTAATATATTTCAAGGTATTATAATTAGTAATAAAAATATTAGACGACTTTTAATATCTATTTTGTATCAGCTCAATTAACAAATTCTCACAAAATTTAAATATTCACCTGTAGGGGTTTTGGGGTTTTGGGGTTTTGGGG